GTGGTGCCTGACTGTAATCCCAGCACCTCAGGAAACTGAAGCAGGACTGCAAGTTCAAGGCCAGTCTCAGCAATTTAGTGAGGCTCTAACCAATTTAGGGAGACCCTGTCTCAAAACAAAAAAAAAAATTTAAAAAGGGCCAGGGATGTAGTTCAGTGGTAAAATGCCCCTGGGTTCAATCCCTAGCCCTAGCAGCACCAGCACCACTCCCGTCCCCGCTCCCCAACTAAATCCCAGTCTCTAGGGAACAAAGGTACATTCCAAAAGAAAACTATGAAAACAAATCTTGAGTGCTCTATACAGAAGAATTTGGGAAAACTACAGCAAAATCTCTCAGTTAAGGCTAGAGCTTGTCCTTGCCTTCAAAGAGTAAGAGGAAGACATTAATTTGGGATTCTGAAACTTGATATTTAAAAAAAAAATTTTTTTTTTTTTTTTGGACACTGGGGATTGAATCCAGACCTCTGATCTATTATTAAGCTATATCCCCAGGTCTTTAACACAAGATCTTGCCAAGCTGCTGAAGCTAGCCTCAAACTTGCAATCCTCCTGCCTCAGCCTCTCAAGTAGCTGGGATTTCAGGTGTGCACCACTGCACCCAGCTAAACATAATTCTAAATACCTGAATAACCCCAGCACAACTTTCCAGTAAAGCAAAACATCAAAATTAGGTATGGAAGAAATATCTAATAGGTCAGTTTCATCTTCCTCTCTAGTTGTTACTCTACACTGCACATTTTAAGCTCTTTTTAGTTGTGGATGGACACAATACCTTTTTTTTTTTTTTTTTTTTTTTTTTTTAATGTGGTGCTGAGGATTGAACCCAGTGCCTCACATATGCTAGGCAAGCTCTCTACCACTGAGCTACAACCTTAGCCCACTGCACAACATCATAACATTTTTCTCCAGCACATGACAGGCAAGTATTCTTACCACTGTGCTGCATTCCCAGTCCTTTTTGAGACAGGGTCTCCCTATGTTGCCAAGGCTGGCAGCTCATACATTTCCTTTTACTTGGATGGCTAGTCTTTTCTGGAAAGCCATGGTCATACTTGGGAAGACAGGCTTCCCAACTTTTTTTTTTTAATTTTTTTTTTGTAGTTGTAGATGGATGAATGCTTTTGTTTTTTTTTATGTGGTGCTGAGGATCGAACCCAGTGCCTCACACATGCTAGGCAAGCGCTTTGCCACTGAGCCCCAGACCCAGACGCCTTTTCTGTTGTTTTGGCAGCACTGGGGACTGAACCCAGGGCCTCAAGCATGCCAGGAAACAACTCTATCACTGACATGTATCCTAAATTTTTTTTTTTTTTGGTGGTACCAGGGATTAAACCCAGGGGTGCTTAACTAGTGAGCCACATCCCTAGTCCTTTTTTGTATTTTATTTAGATAGGGTCTCACTGAATTATTTAAGGCCTCGTTAAATTGCTGAGGCTGGCTTAAACTCCTGATCCTCCTGCCTCAGCCTCCAGAGCCGCTGGGATTACAGGCATGTGTCACTGCACCCGGCTTGCATCCTAAAAACTTTTTGAGAAGTTGGGAGGTAGCCTGACATCATTTTCAAATTAGGAAACTGAGGCATACAGGCTTGTAGAAACTCATTTGTAAGGGGAGAGCTGAGGAGGAAGTTGAAGGTCTGGTTGGACATTGGATGAACAGGCTCAACAAATGACTGGCCTCATCATCAGGATTTGGCCTCTAGCCAAGCCAACCAATCAGTGGTAGTGTGTACAGAAATAGAACTTTTTAAGTTCCTAACCTCCAAGCATAGGCCTGTGTTTTTGTGCAGTAGGTTACCAGGGGGCCATTAATAAACTCTTTTGTTTGTTTGAGAAGGCAGTCTCACTATGGTGCCCAGGCTGGGCTTAAACTTGCACTCCTACCTTGGCCTCCCAAGTAACTAAGCACAAGAATGCACCACCATGCTTGGCTAATAAACTGGTTTTATTCCCAACTTTTTTACAAAGGAATGGAAAAGCTTCTAAGTCAACCTTTAAAATGGTTAACTTTTATTTATAAATAACAAATTTCTGTACCTGATGCAGTATCACCACTTAGCATCCAAAGGTTTAACTAGAATGCTTCACAATGGAGGATGAATCACAAGAGGCTGATCCTCCTCCAATAAATTCTTGAGAAAAGAACTACAAAAATAACCCTTTCAGCTCCTATGACTATTTGATTCCAACTTAGTAAACTTACTCATCTTCTCTTGATCAGTGTATAGTTGAATGTGCCCAAAATCAAACTATAGGATGAATCAAGTGTACTGACGTTTCAGTTAGGAATTAAGTGGTTCAAATTTTGGATTAAGGACCCAGTCAAGTCAGGTATGGTGGTATACATCTGTAATCCTAGTTATTCTGGAGGCTGAGGTGGGAGGATCCCAAATTGAGGCCACCCTGGGCCACTGAAAAGACTGTCTCAAAATAAAAAGGACTGGTGAGTAGTTCAGTGGTAAGGCACCTCTGGGTTCAATCCCAAATACTGAGGGGTGGGGGGAATACTTCTCAAGGGTGAATCTATTTTTGCAGTCCAGTTTTAAGATTTCTCTGAGGGGCTGGGGATGTGGCTCAAGCGGTAGCGCGCTTGCCTGGCATGCGTGCGGCCCGGGTTCGATTCTCAGCACCAAATACAAAGATGTTGTGTCCGCCAATAACTAAAAAATAAATATTAAAATTCTCTCTTTAAAAAAAAAAAAAAAGATTTCTCTGAGAAGCCAGGTGCAATGGTATCCACCTGTATTCCAACAGCACAGGGTGCTGAGGTAAGAGGATCACAAATTCAAAGCCAGCCTCGGTAATTTAGCAGTTTTTTTTTTCTTTTCTTTTTTTGGTATCAGGGATTGAACCCAGGGGCACTTAACCACTGCACTACATTCCCAGCCCTTTTTTATATTTTGTTTAGAAACAGGGTCTCCCTGAATTGCTTAGGGCCTCACTAAATTGCTGAGGCTGGCTTTGAACTTGAGATCCTCCTGCCTCAGCCTCCTAAGAGCTGCCAGATAACAGGCATGCGCCACCATGCCCAGCAATTTAGCAAAGTCTTAAAATAGATAAGCTGGACCCTGTCTCAAAACAAAAAATAAAATGATATGGAGATGTAACTCATTGGTAAAGCATACCTGGGTTCAAACCCCAGTACCAAAAAAAGAAAAAAAAAATCTCTGAGAACATCTGAGGAGTGGAGGAAGAAAAGAGTTAAAGCTATGAAACTGCCACTCCTATGACTTAAGGAAAACTACTAATAGGAGCAGCAGCACTCCAATTCTGAAGAAATTTTCAGGGTTCTTGGTTTTTGCTATTAAAGTCAAAGGCTTAGGAACAATTTAACCATCTGTAACTAGTAATGATAATTCATCACAAGGTACCTACAGAGGCAAAGTTCCCTGGCCAGTCACCCGCCTACTTCAGAGCCTACTTAGGCATTATTTCAAGTGACATTTTAGTGACAAACTATGATTTAGAGATATCCCTGAGTCACAAATCTCTCTGAAATTTAGCTCTCAAGCAGTAGGAAATAAGATGGTTTTATCTGGCTGCACTTGGTATAGCACAGGCCTGTGATCCCAGTGACTCAGGCTGCTAAGGCAGAAGAATCACAAGTTCTAAGCCAGCCTGGCAACTTAGTGAGATCCTGTCTCAAAATAATATAAAAAGGCTGGGGATGTTGCTTAGTAGTAGAGCAACTCTGGGTTTAGTCCCCAGTACTATCCACCCCCCCCACACACACAAAAAGAAGTTTAATTCAATACAACCCCACATCAAACTTTTTCAGTCTTTAAGAAGCTGATACAGCTATAATTTAGGGTTGAGTTTATTCATTCAAAACAGGTTTCCCACACCTCCTAAATGCCAACTATTTAAGTAGATCAAAATTGCCATTCCTACTTTTGTGGTTTTCAGATCTACAGGAGATTCTCTCTTAACAATGCATTAGTGGCATGCAAAATATTCCCCCATTTTGTTTAGTCTGTGAAACAAAATTCTTTAAACTGGAAAGATCTTGTAGTCTTACAGAGATTACATTGGAATTAGTTCTTTTTTCCCTTTAGGAGAGCAGCCATTCCTTCACAAGTTACAGCTCGGATTTCAAAACGTAAACAGATGTTTTTTAAGCATCTCAAAAGGGCCATTCCATTTTTATTCTGGGCCATGGTGATTCTGAATTATTGTGTGTTCCAACCCCGTAAAGGGTTGATCCTCATCCTTTTGGTGTAAACTTTCAAGAGAAGTGGGACAGCACACTTTAGGAGTTTCCAAAAGTGGCTGGCGACGTGTAAGAACCCGGGCTGGATGGGAGAAAACTTGAGGGCAAGAGTGCTCAGAGATCCCCAAGCACTGAGGCTGCAGGTTTTCTTCCCACTGTCCCCCGCCCCATCTAGATGTCTCAAGGGAATTGATGGTTGCTACAATACTTAGAGGACAGTTCCTTTTCGCAGCCCGGGAGGCGGGGTGGCTTTGGTGTATGGGGTGGGGGTGGGGTGCGGAAAGGTGCTCCGGACTCAGCCCTCGAAGCCTTCGGCAGACTACCACATTTGGGGCACAGGGGACCAGAGCGGCAACCTCCGCCCTTCCCCTTGGCGCCAGTGCCTGAAATCTGGCGTCTCCCCTACTTAGACGAAGTGGGGGTCCCGCTAAGCTGGGCCCCGCCACCATGCCCAGGCCGAGTGGGGGTGGGGAGAGGCATTGGCTGAAATCGGTCTCGAGACCAGCGCCCCAGTGGGAGGACAGCAAAGGGTTGGCGTCTCCCCAGCCTCTGTCCTGTTGGGGTCTCGGGAAACACGCGATAATCAGCCAAGAATCCCGCCCTACGTGAGCGGCGAAGCTGCGGGGCTGCCGGGACAGTTTGAGGGCCGGGCTCGGCGGGAGAGACTCCAACCTTCACCCTCCCCGGCCCCTGGTCCCACTCCCCGCCATCTCCCGACGCCGCCACTTCAGACAGCCCACTCGGCCCGGCCTCTCCCCGCGCCCGGACCACCCCCCATGGGGTGCTCTCACTGCGCAGCGAGTCCCTCCGCTGCCTCCTCCCAGCCCAAAATGGCGGCGGCGGCCACCGAGCTTCTCGTCGCCTTCCTCAAGGGCCTGGGATCCCTCCGCGCGCGTAGCCCCTCCCCCCTCAGCCGGATCTATTTTCTGCCCCGTAAAGATTAACGCCATCAATGAACTCTTTAATTGAGTTCGGGATGGGTGGATCCGGTTGTGCTTCCGCCCCGCTAATCGTTGAAGAAAGTGAAATTATTGGCAGATCATTTGACCAATCAAAGAAGACAGCGGAGAGCGCGGGACGCCACCCGCGCAAGGGTAGATGGGTTTTAGAGTTCCGGGTGTGGTTGTTGACGTGACAGGACCTTGGGTTGCATTTCCAGTCTGGAAGAACTACAATCCCCAGCAGGCCTTGCGCTTCAAGGCTGTCCCCTCCCCTCAACCTTAGTGCCTGAGCAGCTTGGTCAGAACTGCTGCAACTGCAGCAAGAGGTAGGGCTGAGGCGTTGGGAATTTCACAGACAGGCGGTCGCACAGAAAGACACACAGAGGTAGTCGTGTGCATAGCTCTTGACAGCAAATAGGTCAGTTCCACCTTTGCAAAAAACCTCCCTTCCATGGTTATTTCCCCTTTTCCAAGAAATCCATCCTTAACCCAGTTGGGTTTTCCCTCCCAGCTGCATGTAGTGCGAAGACTTCTCTTTTCCTCTTCCTCTCTTTCCCGTCCTGAGGAGAAGGAGGGAAGCAGGCCAGGCCCTGTAGACAAAAAGGCCTCAGCTCAGGCTCTCCGGGGTCCCAGTCTTGGTTGCAGAGACTTTGCCTTCTGGATCCCTGCCTGGGGAGGAGGTGGAGTCGGGACTGCAGTGGAGACTCAGGGCTCCAAGAGCTTGCACCCCGTTTTCTTGGAGCCACAAACCCACCTCGTTCCCAGTCCTTCCGGGCAGTCACGTTTTTGGCAGAGAGCAAAATTTAGTCTTACGTTTCCTAGCTGCCAACCCAGGCCTCAGTGACTTACATGAAAAGGCAGCGTAGGACATTAGCCCTGGCCCGGGACCTTGTGGAACAGGGCTAGGAAGATAGCCCCTTAAACCCATTTGGCCCCACTCTGGCTGGAGGTGTGAAAACCAGGACATGAAGGCAGGCTTTAGGGCCTTCGTTTAAAAATAATGGTGGGCAAGCCTGGTGCTACAAAATGGCTGCCGCTGCCCGGACAAACAATTCCTGGGCAGCCAGATTCTTCCTGAGAATTTTCCTTCAGGACTTAGGTTTCTGTTGTTGTTCAAAGCAGGTGTGACTAGTTAAAGGCATCTGCTGAAAGACTGGGAGAAGAAAAAGATGGCCACTCTGAATCAGACCAACTGTAATACCAAGTCACCAGCAGCCCTGGAGGAGGCCAAGGTAAGCGCCCACCCTCCAAGTCACTTGGGACCTGCCTTCTGGGATCCTAGCTTCTTGTCTCAGATGTGTTGATAGATTTGAAAAACCTGTTTTTTAAATGAGTCTCTTATCCCTGGGTGATAGGTTAGGTGCTAAATTTGTGTTGTCTCACGAACTCCTAGAAGCCCTTCAACGTAGGAATTATTTCCAGTTTACAGGAGCTAAGGTTCTGAGAGCTGAAATACCTTTTCCAGAATCATGCTACTGACAAGCAGCAGATCCAGGGTTTAAACTTAGGACCTCTGACTGCAGGTCCTTGCCTTGATCTCAAGGACAAATAACTTGGTTGAATATTTGCCTTTTGGCCAGGCTAAGACCCAAGTCTACAGCAGGAAAAAATATGGGGTTCAAATTTTGCAATGGAGTTTAGGGGTTAGGATTGTTTCGTTTCCTCTTCCTTAGATTAGGCTGTAATCCAAGGAAGAGGAAACAGACTGATATCAGGCCCTCAGAGAATACCTTCTGGGCTGGTAGCAGGAGCCCAAACCCTCCTGGCTAATGCTTTTTCACTACCCTTCTGTACCCATTCTCTCCTGGCCCACTGTTTCCTATAGATCAGAGATTTGGGGGTCAGAGAAGCTTCCAACTTATCCTGCATAACCACTTTCAGTATTTCTTGGATTTGTTGAATTTGGAATTTCTGGTATGTCAGGGCTACCAGGTTCAGAGAGGGCAAATGACTCACTCAGGTCACACAGCTTATCTCTGATATTGATAATGGTAGTAGAGGGATAAGCCTTCAGAAGGGAGGCAACATGTGGGGCTTGGTGGCAGAGCTGGCTTGGGTTGGGGGAAGGATTACCAGGGGACATTTATTGAGGGCTGGGAGCAGGTGAATGATTATGACACAAACAAGCCAACCTGCTACAGAGTTCTCTGTGGCCTTGCCTCTTGTGGGTGGGGCAGCAATTCTGTTTTAGTTGGCCCAATCCCCTGGTGGTTGAGGCCTGTCATTCATGATGGGTGATCTCCCTGTAGGTAAAGTAACACAACACACACACATACACACTCTTATTCAAACATACCTCCTTTCCCCTGAAATTCTCCCTAAGGTCTCAGCAACACAAATGAACAGTCCTAGTTCTCCAGGGCTGCCAATACCACATCCCTCAAAACACTTCCTACACTTGTAGGGACCCATGCTCAGAATCATGTTGTGTTTTATAAAACAAGATGCCAATTGTTGTGTTTATTATTAGAAATCCCTCAAACCACAAACTTAGAGCAATTTATCCCCATCCCCCACACTCAGTACTCCCAAGCTCACCACAACAGAGATAAGCAGATGCCCTGAGCACACATATGCTCTCTTTTTTTTTTTTTTTCACATATGCTCTCTTGACAGATCCTTTCCACCTCTTGCAAGTTCTGGAACTCTGCAGAAAGGAGTTGACCCTTCCTTTCTTTGGTTAGGACCTCTTTCTGCCACTCACACAGAAGAGTGATATAGCCAGGCATGGTGACACACACCTATAATCCCAGCAGCTCGGGAGACCGAGGCAAAAGGATAGCAAATTCAAAGCCAGCCTCAGCAACTTATTGAGACCCTGTCTCAAAATAAAAAAGGGCTGGGGACTTGGTTCAGTTGTTGAGCATCCCTGGGTTCAGTTTCTGGGACCAAAAAAAATAAATAAATAAAAGAGTGATACAACTCTGCTTGAGATAAACACACTCCATCTTATTTACCCTAGAAAAGTAGAGTCTCATTTTCCAACATCTTTTGGATCCCTCTATCTTATAAGCTTTAAGCACTTTTTTTTTTTTTAAAGAGAGAATTTTTTTAATATTTTTTTTTTCGGCGAACACAACATCTTTGTTTGTATGTGGTGCTGAGGATTGAACCCGGGTCGCATGCATGCCAGGCAAGCGTGCTACCGCTTGAGCCACATCCCCAGCCCAAGCTTTAAGCACTTAATAAAAAATTTTTTGTGGGGAGGGTTACTGGGGATTGAACTCAGGGGCACTCAACCACCGAACCACATACCCAGCCCTATTATTTTATATATTATTTAGAGATAGCATTTCATTGAGTTGCTTAGCACCTCAGTGTTGCTGAGGCTGGCTTTGAATTCACGATCCTCCTGCTTCAGCCTCCCAAGCCACTGGGATTACAGGCGCATGCCTGGCTCATTTAACAAATATTTCTTGAGCACTTGCCCTGTTTCATGCATCGGGTAAAGAGGTGAACTGAATAGACAAGACACATTCTCAGGGGAAAGAAGACCAATGATAAATGATAACACGCTAAATGCTTTGTGGGATGTTAAGTGCATGATGTGATACAAAGTCACTGGGGAGGGGCTGCCTTCGGTATGGTGGACAGGGAAGGCCTCCCTGAGTAGGGAGCACTGGAACTGAGCCCTAAAGGATGAGAAAGAGTTGACCATGCAAAGAGCTGGAAGCAGGATTGGCTTTATGATTTGTGGGGTCCCTTGTTCACAGGTTATTAAGGACTTCAAGACAGGGATAATAGCATCAAGCTAAGCATGGGGGTTTTCTGAATGTGGGCCTCTGTGCAAGCACGTAGGTTGTGTTCCCACAAAGCCTGCTCCATTTGAAAGACATGCTTTTTGGAAAGAGGGAAAAGCAAGTTGGGTTTCTGATCAAGCAAGTGCCTCAGGGGCCATCTTCTATCCCAGGTTGCTCCCTCTCCTCCATTCATTCAGACAGTATTTGTGGAACTCCTACTCTGTGTCAGATATTGTTCTAGGCATTGAAATGATGAGATAATACTCAGGTAAAATGCTGCTCTTCCGGTGAGTTTACTTGGGGACGGTTGGGGCACAGACAGTAGACAGGTAAATGATTGCAGAAGGGTGAGGGAATATAGAATGACCAGGTGAGTTGTGCGGGGCTTCAGGCTGGGTGGTCAGGGGAGGGTTCCATGGCCAAGGATAAGCTGCTTGTGATCCAACTTCCCTCCCCACTTTCTCTTTAGACCTCTGGTGATTCGGGGAGCCCCCAAACACCCACTAAGTCTCTTGACTGTGGCAGTTCCCCGTCCCTGGCACCACGAAAAAAGAGCCATTCAGAGGATGAAGATCTTGCCCAGGCTGCCGGTGGCCTGAGCTGGAACTGTGGTGGACCCCAAACCCAGAGCCCAGGGGGTTGCTCAGTAGAGGCCGTGCTGGGCCGGAAGAAGCACCGGAGGAGGCCATCCAAGCGCAAGCGGCACTGGAGGCCCTACCTGGAGCTGAGCTGGGCGGAGAAGCAGCAGCGTGATGAGAGGCAGAGCCAGAGGGCCTCCAGGGTCCGCGAGGAGATGTTTGCCAAAGGCCAGCCTGTGGCGCCCTACAACACCACCCAGTTTCTCATGAATGACCGAGACCCCGAGGAGCCCAACCTTGAAGTGCCACCCTATGGGGCGTCCCACCCAGGTTCCAGCGGGGACAGTGAGGCAGGGGACAGTGACGGGCAGGGCCAAGATCATGGCGAGTTCCAGCAGAGGGACTTCTCTGAGGCCTATGAGCGCTATCACACTGAGAGCCTGCAGGGCCGCAGCAAGCAGGAGCTGGTAAGAGACTACCTGGACCTGGAGCGGAGGCTCACGCAGGCCGAGGAGGAGACGCGGAGGCTGCAGCAGCTGCAGGGGCGCATGGGCCAGCAGCCCTGTCGCCAGGTGGAGGAGCTGGCCGCCGAGGTAGAGAGGCTCCGCACTGAGAACC